TAGAAAATTCTAGACCAACAATAAAAATTTAAAGAAGAAATCTTCACACTTATTGATATTGAGAATAGCTAAAATCATGATGAAATCTTTTACGATCATTGTTTTTTTTGTGAGAATTCTCAAAAATTTATACCTATTGAATAACCTACAAAACAAAAACTTGTAAAGATTTTAGATTAAGGTTTCGATAGGAGATTCGTATTGTCTTGTAAAGAAGTGAAAATACTTAAATTTAGAAAGTTCGAAATCGATCCGTGATCGAAACTGCTATTGTTTAAAAAACCGTGTCCCATACCCTATTAAGTTGAAATTTTGTAATACATTAGAAATGAATTCAAAATAAAAGATTTGATTGATTCGTATATAGATTATTGTTTGTCCTACAATGCAGAATAATGAATATGACAGATTCTTCAAATATTCTTGAATTTGGGAAAGATTTGTTTTTGAGTTCTTCTTATCTACTAAAATTCGAACTTACGTATTTTTTTTATCTAAACTTATCTTATTTAGCACTTCAATTAGTCTTTCTACAAACTACTTGTTTGTTTGAGATTCAGGAATAAATTACTCAATAATAAGTATGATACAAAATTCATGGCATAAAATACTTTCGAATGGTGTATGATTTATATTTGTCATGCATTCATAAATGGAATAAGAAAGAAAAATACTTACACAAAAAATTTGTAATTTTTTTATATGAATCAGTCAAAAACGTCTTATGCATGGCAGTTAAGTATAATTAACTATTGTTATTATCGAGCAAGATGTTTTTAACGAATTCATATAAAAGTGGCAAATTTATTTTGTCTCATTTCACTCAGAAATGTGTGATGAACATAAATCATACACCGTTTACTATCAACTGATAATAAAATTGTTTTTTCTTACGTTCAAATTCTATTATAACTCATTTTATTGTAAAATCCAAACAATAAAAAATGAAATAATTTTTAAATATATTTCAAAATCGAACTAACGGAATCAGTGAATATGTTGAAAAAATTCGATATAAAAGAAAATTTCATTCATGATAAAATCCGGGTTCATCGCAATTTTTTACATTACCAGTTAAATTTTAGTTAGTTTCAAAATATTTGAAAACGTCAACAATATTTGTTTTCAACATTGAGAAAAGCCAGATTCTAATCAAGTTCATAAGTACAAAGCTTTTGTAATTGAGAGCAGTTCAATACTGTTTAAAACAAATGAGAATGATTCATTTCAATGAAATCGATGTTTATTTCTACTTCATACTTTTGTTTCATCTTAGTACCACTACGTGCAAGTTTCGTTGATATTCATCCAAATGCAAAATGGGCACAGAATGGTATCACTGTTGCTGGAGGAAATGGACTAGGCAGTGAAACCAATCAACTCAATCGGCCATTTGGTTTGTACGTCGACGATGATCAAACGATTTATGTCGCTGATTGTTATAATCATCGTATTGTGGAATGGAAATCTGGTGCAACGAATGGAAAAGTAGTTGCTGGTGGAAATGGATATGGAAATGGAGCTCATCAATTAAGTTGGCCACGAGATGTGATTATTGACAAAGCGAGCGATAGTCTCATCATCAGCGATTACGTGAATAGAAGAGTAGTTCGTTGGCCTCGTCGAAATGCTACTCAAGGAGAAACAATTATTTCAAATATCTCTTGCTGGGGTTTGACAATGGACGACAATGGTTATCTCTATGTCGTTGATGATGAAAAACATGAAGTGAGACGATATAAAATTGGTGATACTCAAGGAACAGTAGTTGCAGGTGGCAATGGAAAAGGAAATCGTCTCGATCAACTCTCTAATCCCCGCTACGTATTTGTCGATCGAGAACATTCAGTTTATGTGTCTGATTATGAAAATCATCGTGTAATGAAATGGGAAGAAGGTGCAAAACAAGGCATTGTCGTAGCCGGTGGTCAAGGACAAGGAAATAGTCTTACACAATTGAATCATCCTCTAGGAGTCGTTGTCGATCAATTGGGTACTGTCTATGTGGCTGATTGTTGGAATCATCGAATCATGCGTTGGCCAAAAGGAGCCACACAAGGAAGTGTCATTGTTGGTGGAAACGGTGGAGGAGCACAGTCGAATCAACTCTATTCTCCCGTTGGTTTATCATTCGATCGACATGGCAATCTCTATGTCGTCGATTACTATAATAATCGAGTACAAAAATTTAATATCGTATGAAACTCAATAAGATGATGAATTTTCTTTTCTTTTTTGTTCTCTTTCTCTTTCAAATAAATCGCGATTGAATGAAAAAAATGATTTTATAGCTATTCTATTCTCTTCGCACGCGCGCGACCAGGAACCATCCTGGTGGAGCCGTGGCGAGCGTAAAGCTCATGCACGCGCGGGAAGACCCACAATATCAACATGCACCTATCCGATGTCATATGTCAGTGAGTCTGGAGGCCCGATCGTGTGCCACGGACACCAAGACAGTTCCTGGCCAGGCTTTTAGGGACTACCCGGAAGTCCTTCTTATAAAGCGAAACCCTAAACTCAACGTACCTCACCCACCCTAACTATTCTCATCTCAACAAAGAAAAGAAAAAGAAAAACATGAATATAAAAGATCACAAGACGACTTACCACCCTCTGTATGATCCAATAAAGAAAAAAAAAGGAAGAAAAAAAATAAAAACTGATACCTACATTTTTTTGTTGTCCTGATTTGAATTGAATTGTATAATTTTGTATCGTTGCAGCCAATCTAAAATATAAAAAAAAAGATTAGAATTTGATTCAATAAATTGAATGATTTTTACATGGAAAATCATTCATATTTATACGTTAAAAAGTCGATAATTTTCTTTTTTTTTTTCTCGTCAGAGAGTGATGAAAAGATGATAAAAATTAAGCTATTATCAATATACACGCATACATTGAGATAAAGTCAATCACAGTATCTCAATGTATGTGTATGGATAATGCTTAATTGACGTACACACTCATTATGTCATATTATCATTGATCATCAATGACAACATGAAGCATAACTTACGGACGAGAGAAGAAAAGAAAAAACATTATTGTCTAGGCCTGTTTTTCATTCTTGTCTGTGTCATGTTCGTTTGTGAGCACACGAAGCAGACGAACACACAATATTCAAGAATGTGTTCATCATTGAATTCTTTTCTCTTTTTGTTCGATAGATCAGCAGCAACATGGAAAAATTTTTATCATATATTCGCAATTTTTAATATGTAAAATATGAATTTATTGTAATTATTGCAACTTGTCAACCTGAAGGGCGTCATTTGTCTGATTTGAATGCTATATGGGTTGCTCGAAATCAATTTATTTTTCTTGATAAAAAAGATTATATTGTAAGTTTAAATTTGTTTCTTTTTTTAAATTTTTTCATTAATTTTTTAGGTTGGTACACGTCTTTTATTAATTCGTGAAAATTATGATATTATTTTATATGATGCTCAACAAAAGCGCTCATTAACAAGTATAAGAAAAAGCAATATGGTCAAATGATAAAGTATGCCCTTATTAATGGTGATCATGGAGTTATTTGTACAGTTGATTTACCTATTTATAGAACAAAAGTTAATGAAAATATTGTTTTTTTGTTTTCATACAGAAGTTCGACCAAAATTAGATGGTAAAGATTGTTGGGAAAAATTAACTTTTATTTATTTACAAGATCAGATTCCAATGCTATTAGGAGATGTTGAAGAATGCATTAAACTTCTTAGACAATGAAATCAAAGTAAGATTTTAGATTGTTCTTTTCTTTTTTCTAAGAGAAAATTATTAAATTTGTTGCGCTTCTTGTACACTGGAATCACTTGATGAAAAAGTAATTTATTATTGACAACAAAAAAAATTCTCATCTTAATACTTCTTCTGGAGGTCTTTAGAAAAAAAAAAACAAAACAATATAGAAAATTTTATAGTTTTCTAATATTTTCAGCTAAAAGTCCTGAAATCTAGTTATAAATTTTCGTGCCAGTATATCAATTCTTTTGAGATTCTAAATAATATCTAAGAATGTTTAATTATGTCTAGCATATTCTGGGTGCGTTCTTTTTCGTCCCTATCTTCCTTACATCCTGACACATGATTAAGGACGAAAAAGGACGCACCCCATATCCTTTATCTAAAGATTTTCCCGTACTATTGGATAGAGAAGTTTATGATAATTATCGATGTTACTTTTGATATTGACAGATAAGATTTTTTTGAAAATAGATTACAAGAAATTACCATGTCATAGTTAATTTAGTGTTCCTGCTTTGATTGATATCCATTTGAATGTAGATTTTAAAAAACTAAGAAGACTTCTCATATTCTATGTCAAAAAAGAAATAGGTCGGTAGACTGAGATTTCAACAAAGATGCTATTACTTGTTCTTTATTTAATTGATATATTAGATATAAAGTATTAAGATAGACATACATTTAATCAATATTAATCTCGTGTTAAATTTAGTAATTCAAAATAAAATATTTATTTATTTTAGATATCTGAAATAAATCTAAATGCTAAATTAATTTTATCACCATGTCCAATAAGTCAACAAGAATCGAAGCAGGTTTAATATCAAACATAACAGCAAAACTTGCTGCAAATCTTCGTATTAATGAAACAGCAACAAGGGATTGAGATTGGACTGGTGATGAAGTACCAATTGAAAATGATGACGATGATCTTAATAGAGAAAATCTTAATAATAATCAAGATGAACAAGATGAAGGTTGGGGTGATCGAGAAATTGAATTGCCACCTGGTCTTGTATGTTTTTATTCAAATATATAAATTATTGGTTTATTTAATAAATATTTTTAAATTTTTATTTTAATTATTAAGGCGTGATGCACGTTCACCAAAACTATTTTATCTAGCAGTTGGATTTAAATCAGAAAACTTAGTTCGACATTGTCAAATCGCTTATCGTTTAACAAAAAATGGAAAATTTCAAGGTCAACAATGAATTGAAATATGTAAAGAAAATATTGTTGATTTACAAATGTCAATGGCAAAAGAAGATTTAGCAAAAGATAATGAAAAACGTTCATGTGAATTAGCTACTGATTTTACTCATTTACAATTACAACCAAAACATAAAATCATGACATTAAAATTTGCACTTAATCAAGCATTGTGAATTAATTTCTCAGGTCTACTAGTAAAGAAATCTTTATAAAAACATAGCTATCTTTAATGCACTCAAAGATATGTCATATCTGTTGATCGAAGTTGTTCATGTTTTTTTTGATTTGTTTGAAAACAATTGAATTTATTCTTTGTTAAATGAAACATAATTTTCATTCAATTACTTTAGAATATGGACAAAAAAAAACAAATAAAAACTTTATTATTATTTTGTTTAGACACGGAAAGTATTGTGTACGTGGAAAGAATCCAATTGATGAACATCCATTAAATTATGATGAATACAATCCATTTAATATTTGTGCAGCATCCAATGTACCACATTTATCGGTAAGAAATTTAAAAATAAAACCGACTTTAATTTAAAGTAATCTTTAAGTCTTGTTTAGTGAAAATCCATTATCCGGAGCAGCCCATTTATCTTAATTTATAGGACAATTATGCCGAGTTACAAAAGCAACTGAAATTGGAATTCTAATTCTATTATCATTATTATTAACTTTTATTGCATATATTTATCATTTTGAAAAAGTAACTTATCATTAGAACGTTTTTCTCTTATTTCAAGATAAAGAAATCCGTTTCTAAAACGAGAATTTAGAATCAATACATTTGTTTGAAATTAGTTCACTTCAGTAGACATTGAAATTCTATGATAATATACAAAAATAAATAATCTCGGTTTATAAAACGACATCAATGCAACTGAGTACTTTATAATTGTTTAAGAAATTTTATCGACATGATTTCATTTGATATTCAACCTTTGCAATATCTCGATTGACTCATTCAATTGGTAACCTACACGCATCTATTCAATATTCATGCCGGCAGCTTTTTCTTGCTCAACTTTACTAAACATAATGAAATTCAAAACAATTGATTCAATTTACAATAAATGATTATTCACATCATGAAGAAAAGAATTTTGATTCATTATCAAACTGTTGAAAACGTTGTAAACAACATTGATATGTATTGCATTCACTAATATTGATCTAGTTATGCAAACATTACACTATATAATTAAGTCATTAATAAGATTAAGGGATAATTATATGTCTAAAGATATACATTTTTTTTATAGATTTCATATTTAAATAAAAATAAAAATGAATATTCAATGGTTTATTTTTCCCAATTGAAAAAATCTTCTTTGATTTCAATCAACTTTTCTCCTGTTTCTCTACTACAGGGTGTTAAAAAACCTTTACGCCCCCTAGATTCTACCTTAAGGTAAAATGATTTCACTAAGTATTTAATACCAAATTGAAGCCCGTAAAAAACTGCATTTATTGATACTAAATAGTAATGGTTAAGAAGACCTTTTAATGTCGAACTTACGAGATTTTTAGAAATTAGATATCTTTTTTGGTGTAGAAAAGTAAGGTGCCAGTAATTCAAATATGAAATAAAACATTTTTCTTAGATATTTTTACATGATTCGATAGAGCTCGACGAGCTCTACAAAACTATATATTTAAAAAAATACTTCGAGCTATCTTTCTGTGATAAAAAATTCCAAAAACTGCTTGGAAAACCACAAAAAATATTTGAAACTTAAGTTTTTTCATATGGAAGAAAAACACTCGATTTTTCAATAAAATTAAGTTTCATTGATTATTTTTTCCCGTCTTAGACGTTTCGAAATACACTCATTCGATGCAATTTTTCACGTGGCATCGAATGAGCACATTTCAAAATGTCTGAACTAACATAACTAATGAAAAAAACTAATATTATTGAAAAAATTGGATGTTTTTTCCACATGGAAAAAAAGATAAATTTTTTGACACTTTTTTTGGATTTTCCGTTTAGTTTTTGGAATTTTTTATCACAGAAAGATAGCTCGAAGTATTTTTGAAATATCTAGTTTTGTAGAGCTCGTCGAGCTCTATCGAATCATGTAAAAATATCTAAGAAAAATGTTTTATTTCATATTTGAATTACTGGCACCTTACTTTTCTACACCAAAAAAGATATCTAATTTCTAAAAATCTCGTAAGTTCGACATTAAAAGGTCTTCATAACCATTACTATTTAGTACCAATAAATGCAGTTTTTTACGGGCTTCAATTTGGTATTAAATACTTAGTGAAATAATTTTACCTTAAGGTAGAACCTAGGGGGCGTAAAAGTTTTTTAACACCCTGTATAGAACTTTATAATTATAACAATGAAATGAGAAACAACACCATCGGGAAGGTGCATTATTGAAAAACAAATTCAATAATCATAAAATCAAAATGAAAATATCAAAACTGAAACATTAAGTAAAATATGTCAAGATAAACATCATACAACAGTAAGACAATATGGTAAAATAATTTGAGAATGTGGAAATGCACCAATAGATGAATTAGATCGAATTGATTCATCATCGAATGATAATAATGATCAACCAATTATAGGCAAGAAGAGACGAAAGAAAATATTATACAAGTTTGTTTTTTTTTTTATTTTGAAAGAAAAAACATCTAGTTGTCTCGCTGTTTTTTACTTAATATATTTTATTGTTTCCGCTTTGTCAAAACTGATTGTCTTTTCCGATTGAAAATAAACTTGTCCACAACAACATCATTTTCCTCAACAACGAGAGGAAAAAAGGTATCAATTCAGATCGAACAAGCATTCGATAGTTTATAAACAACTAGACAAAAACTTTTTTTTTCTCTAAACTTCATTTACGATTCACTCACACATTAGAATATCGATTTAATCTTCAGGATGTAGGTGTAGATGTGTATCTTTTCTTCTGTCACAAGTACACGCACATCCCACATCCACCCAAGTATCAATTGCTATTTTGCATGAAAATATCGATGAAAAATAAGTTCTAAAGAATTTTCTATTTTGTTTAGATAGCATATCATATGTAAAGAAATGGGCTACTTCTAAATTGCGGACAAAATTTCAGCCCTCACCCACACTGTCGGCATGCTAATTGGTTTGATTTTCGTCCGCAATCAAGAAGACACGAAAGAAATGAATTTTTAATATATCCTGCTTAACCATTACGTGATCTTAGTTTATTGGTTTTTTTCGGCGTAATTTATTTATGATAATCAATTAAAACATTTATAGATGATCATTTTATTTGTTATGTATAAAATACAAAAAATATTGTGTAAGTCAAATGATCGTTTTTATGAATTTTCAATCGATGAAGTATTAGTTGGAAAATTAAATAGTTAGATAGAATCTGTCGAGTCATTTCTGAAAATTTTGTTTTTTGATAGACTCGAACAATGTTATTATGGCGAAAACTAGATTTGCAAGAAAGTATAAAATCTTTTTCTGTGATATTTTTGTATTTTATTCCTATTTAGATAAAATACTTCTATTTCATACATTTAAAAATCAAATGTTATCACTTCTTATCCATATGAGTCGAAATGACAATTGAAGTATAACAGAAAATATAAACATTAAATTTTGTTTCATCGTCACTTTGATATCAATTATTATTCTTTCATTATTCACCTTCAGCTATTTTCTCATCAAATCCCAGGTCGAAAAGTACCGGCCGGTTCCCGCAGGAAAACACCGGAAATAGCCGGAACATGGAAGCAGTATTCCGGCCGGAAATTTTCGGAATTTTTTCCGCTGATTTTCCGCTCGGTTCCTGCCGGAAAACACAGGAAATTGGCCGGAATTCACCGGAAAAAATCCGGAGAATTTCCGGCCGGACTACTGCTTCCATGTTCCGGCTATTTCCGGTGTTTTCCTGCAGGATACGGTGATTTTTCCCGCATTTTCCTGCCGGTTCCTGCAATATCCGGTGGCCGGAACGATCGACCTGGGATCTATTAGGATCACACGTTAGTTCGGATAATTTTATTGATTGTCGTTTTTATTTACTTGATAGTATATTATTTAATACCTAATTAAACGAGTCAATAATATTATTTTTTTTAGGAAAAACTCCCTAAGTTAAGACGCTTCGTACATTTCTTTGATCTGGTTCTATATAGATATGATGAATTTATTGTACTATTTCTACATCGAATGTTAAATTTAGAAGAAGAACTCAGTTTGAAGAATATTATTGATCATATAGCACAATTAAATGAATTTATATATAATATTCATTCAATCATTGATCTTGATAATCAAATTATTACTTGTGTTGATTATTTTTCAGAGGCAGTGGAAGGTCGATATTATATTTATTCATATTCATATACATTGAAAAAGTACAATAAGATAACAAATAATTTTTCAGGTGGATTATTTGAATGTGTTCGTGAAATATCGTTATTTGATGAACAATTTTTTGGGCATGAATTTTTTCTTTATATATTGCTCAATCATTTCCATTAATGAAAGAATTAACCTTAGGTAATCAAAAACCACCAAAGAATAAATAATCTAGAATATTAAAAGATGATGATCAAGATTTCTCAATTGTTCAATATTCTCATCTTAATGATCTCAATCTATATGAAGTTCATGATGATTATAAATGTTACACACAGTTTTAAAAGAGATGCAACATGGATTAATTGTTCAAAAATTAGTTTTTTGAATACACATCTAATTGTAAACTTAAATGTTTTAACTATTTGAAAAAATAGACAGTAAACTTGATTCTTAATATTATATCGCTTCTTTTAAATGATGTTTTCAAAATCATTTTAGTCATAGACCATTCATTTTTGTAGTGAGTAAATTTTTATAAACGTAAGTTTTATATCATTGTCTATCTAATCACTAGTATGTTACATTCTTGTATTGAAAAAAGAAAATTGTGAAAATATCAGTTTTATTCTGAAAGTAATAGTTTATTTGAAAATTTTTCAAGAAATGAAATTTATCACAAATTTAATGAATGTTTCCAGAGCAATAGAAATATCGAAAATACTTTTTCATTAAATCAATATTATTTGGATAAATGTTTCATTAATTCTTTCATCATTACTAAAATATTACAAATGTTTATCTGATGAAAATGAATTAATCTTATTCGATAAATTTCAAATATTATCTCTTTCTTTTTTCTCTGAAAATTTTCAAAAATAAATAATTTATTTAGTTTCATCTCAAATTATTTTTATTCGTTTACTTATGCATCGTTGTAAATGGCTTCGACGATCCACTATCATTTATGAAATCTCTGATCTATCAAATAATGCAAATTATTCAATTCGACATGTAGAAACAGATCTATTACAAGATAGTAAAATATTTAATTTAATTTTACAAATAATACTTAATGAGATTTTCTTTTTACAGCTCTATAATTAGATGATCTTGATGCAAGTATTTATTTATTAAATAATGATCAAATATGTGATTTTTGTAAAACAAAATAATACTTCGTTCAACAACAACAACAAATCGCGATTATCTATTATTAAACGAGTTTTTTATTTCATCAAAATTTTCGAATAAATAATATCATAATTCAGATGAAAACGAATAATAATTAAAAATGCATTTACTCTTCTGTCAAAAACATTTTTTTCTGTTAATAAAATTTTATTTAGATATAAACAATATTGTTAAATAACTCGTGAACAACTTCAACTTCCATGGAATGAATATTTACCTTTTAAAACATTTGAACAACTCAAACTGTAAGATAAATTAATTAATGAACTTAAAATCTTCTGTTTTCATCTGATTATGTTCGTGCTCGAAATTGTATCTTGATTAACTGAAGTATTACAATTAGCGTAAGATTATAAAATGCTAAAAGAAGTTAGACTTAATTTAAAAATTAAATTTTGATTTTGTAAACCGGATTGAAGTTGTTGGTTGGCTTATTTCGAAGAAGTAACAGAATTAATCAGAGAATTGCAGTGTGAAAGTGATCGTGAACATATAGTTAGAATATTCAAAGAAATTGCCAAGAAAAATTGGGATATGTAGTATCTAACAATAAGTGCAATTGTCAATTGGGAATTATTTCCAACAAAACCAACATTATGAGTAAGAATATTTATTCTCTTATTTCTTATTTTGAGTGTGGGTATAGATACTGTCTTCATCCACACCCTATTATATCAAATACCATCGAAGGCAGATAATGAACCAAACAACGACTTCATTTTTTGTTTTTTATGGTAAATGATACTGGCATTAATCTGGACAACTATTTGAAATGTTTTCTTTTATAGTGAATTACGAAATATTTTATTTGTCGTTTTACAATAATATCATCAAGAAGAATCTTTAGTACAAAAAATATGTTTTCTGATGTTATCTCATCAGGAATATTTTGACTACGTGCAACGGGTGAATTACAAAGAAATAATATGATAAAATTTTTCTCTATTCTTTTAGATGCTTATTTTCAGCTGTCATTGATGGTATTGTCTGACGAATTTCAAGTAAATTTTATGTCAAATGCGAACCATACCGACGGTACAAATACATATGACTGATGTATTTAATATATACCTGTTAGTAACTATGAAAAGTGATTGTCGAATAAGATGATATACAAAACAACATCGGATAACATGAGTAAGCATTGATAAGATATTAAAGATATAGTTCTCGAAAATATATTGAGCATAGTTTCTATAAAAAATTTTACATAATAGCTTATAACTATTGTTCTTAAAATTAAATATATGTAATCACAATAAACACTCACTTTCAAATTCCTTAGTAAAGTTCTTATAACTCACTCTTACAGTTCATATAAAAAAAAAATCTTCTTGTTTATAAATTCTCAAAACTGTCAAATTATTGAAGAATAATTTTTCATTGCTTTTACGAATTAGTTCTGTCTTATTACAAGCAAAATTAATCATGAGTGTTTTGTCTATTTAAAAATAACCAAATATCATGGGGGAACATTTTCACATTGAATATATATTGTTTTTTTTCCAAGTTCAATCATAGGTCGTTCTCTTGTATTTAATTGTGAATCAGATATTGTATGTTCTCCTTTTTCACGATAAATAAGTAAAAAAATAATATCTCTAATAACGATTGCGACAATTTTATTATTCATTATTCTAGAAGGTATTCATGGTCAAAAACGGGTGTGAGTGTGGTTGAAATGAAGACTGACACCCACGTCTTGATAGATCAGAATTTTATCATTATGATAAAAAAGAATATAGCAGTGGAATAAAAAAGTGTGAAACTTATGACAAACAAAATATAAAAGTCATTCTAACAGATAGTAACATTTCTGGATTAATGATCTACATTTGTTTCCTATATCAAATAAAAAAATTTAAAATTTAAAAAAAAACTGAATAATAATAGTTCATTTTCTATTCAAACATGATAATTATTCATTTTAAATCGTATAAAAAGATAGACGATATATTTACTTGAAAATGATTGTTTGAAAATAATAAAAACTAATTTAATGTTCTATTGATAAATTCTAGGAAGGATTAGTTCATTTCAAGAATAACCCTTTTAAATAATTTTTATCATTTTATATGATATGATATTTGTTTTAAATATTTCTTCTTTTAATTATGAGAAAAAGTTTGAGACATGTATTCATGTAACAATTTATTCTTCATAAGGCAGAATTTTTTCAATTCGATATGTTTAAGCAGCCATAATATTCATGGAACATATCAATTTTTGACAATATACTATTATTCTCTTCTCTATTGATAGGAAAGTGAATGCTCTGAAAACTGCTAATTTTGATTTTTTAAAATATTTTTTCTTAAATACAAAATTTTAAATTTTGAAATATAGTCAATCTTAAAACCGCACTTTTATGTCTTTTTCAGATACTATCGATTGGTTAAAACTTTTTCTCGATAAAATTCGAGATGAATCAATGCAAATTTTTCTATTACGATTAATAGTTCATATGAAATCAAATTTTCCGAAATTTGAATCTGATTGTGCAAAATTTATTTACATATCTTTCAAAGAAGAATTGAAATTTAAAAGATGTTGATAGAATTTAGATAAAGAAATATAGAATTTCATAATGAATTTTATGCTATATTTATAATTTCAATAAAATTGTTCTAAAAAATGCTTCATCGTTTTTTCAATCTTTATCCACCGCGATTTGCAAATCAGACATCGTCAAGTTTTTTAATTTTTCAATGAGAATTTACAAAAATGGGTATAAATAGCACTACGATAGGGTGTGGTGCTTGTCCTAATCTACATATGACGTCTTTCTAGCTGAAATTTTAGAATAAAAAGGGAAAAAAAACATGTTAATTATTTCAATTATAAAAATTCTTGATTTTTCTAAATCCAATGAACATGAATGCAACGCATATATGTGTTATATGTTTGTAATGAATGGATTATTTCTTTCGTGAAACAGTTCATATTCTTGACAGAAAATCATCTTATAAAAAAATGATATATTTCTTTTCAAACACATAACTGATGCAACAATCAGTTTTATGATCGTCATGCGTTTCAATCAATAAACATTGAATTAAAGAGAGTCAGCTTTTCTTTCACTAGTTTAATATTAAATAGAGACCATTTTCGTTTTTACTTGGAAGAAATTTATCAATATAAATCAATGCTCTACGATGGTTACTTTTTTTTTCATGAGCTGTGTGTGATTGAAATCGTATATTCGTAAACTTTTAGTGTGAGTAAAATCGTGTCTATGAATATCAAAAAAGAAAAGACAAGATGAAATTAATATAATATGATAAGAAGATGATTTTTTGAACCGAAACAACCTATAATTTGACATACGATTTTATGTTCAAATATGATGAAAATTAAACCTATTCCTAGAATAAATATGGTGATTATTTAAGTATTTTAAAAATTTAGTATAACAATAAATATAAATTCCATATTGATATGTGTTTATGAAACATTTAGGGTAATTCATTTTCTATGGGAATATCTTCAACACGATAGAATTTATGATGGTAATTCCACTTTATAAAGATTCTTGAGAAATCACTTTGAAAACGTTTTTTTGTTTGCTGCAATTCCTTAAAAATACTTCTATGAAAAATTTTCAATATCTTAGTTTTCATAGATAATGAATCATAGAGTAAAATTTGAATTGTATTTTATGTTTTCTGAAGCTTTTCTAGAAATATTTTTGCTATTCGTATTCTTTCTATTCGTTCGTTATTATCTTCAGATAGTGTATTAATGTGAGCCTATCTTGCTAAGAATTGCTCATTGCATACTGATAGATCGATGGTTATGCACTTGTCTTTACTTACAATCGTACGTCTGGCAAGAGTAACTCTCACACGAGTTTTTTTCTTAACAATTTTTACAAGACCTTGCATCATTCAACACAAATCAAGTATAATGAAAATCGATCAGAGAACCGACTGCGAATCGACCTTCACTTTCACGGTCCCTTTGATTTCCTAGCCAGTTTTTTTTGTTTTTGTATTACATTTTTTCGATTATAACTCATCCAATAATCCTTTAATTATCATCATTTTCAGAAAATAATCATTGAATAATTTAAACTTAGAAAGTTGTATTTTTTGCTTATTACACTTTTCATGAAAATATATACACAGTACATATTCTCTCGGAATACTTTAATATTTGAAAAAATTTTAATGACTCACCTCAACTTTCAAGTTCTACACTGCTACCAAATAAAAGGTGAGAATAACTACCATAGTACAGGTATTAATAAATATACATATATATTGAATCAATGCATGATACTATATTTATTATCTACTGGTCTCGGTTCGATATTACATGTTCTTAATGATTTATGAATTACATTCCAACAGTGACCAGGTTTTATTTTTATTTGTCGTTTCTTAAATTCTATTCTGTGTGCCTGTTACGAAACTTCATCTTGATGTAACATTATCGACAAAAAAAAAAGTGGTTTTCATTTAGTATCAAATGAAATTTTACAATCCATACTTGATATAAAACAAATTGAAAGTGACTTAATGAATTTATTTATTCAATATCGTACTAATGCATCAATATTCTTATGAACATTGAGATGAAAGTAAAGATGATATGCTAGTACATGCAAAGCATTTATAACTTCGTTCATCAATTAATATTCTTATTACATCAGCACATTTAACTTTTGATACTTAACAAAGCTACAGTAGAAAATTATATTAATCATTTAACAGAAAAGAATGATACGAATCAAGAAATATATGATAATCAACATCTTATGAAAACATATAATCAATTATGAGAACTTCATACACTTTTATGTTATCATACAACATGTCGAAGACATTTTAAATATTATTCTGACTATTTTTTACGTTTAACTTGTGAAGCTGCATTACATCAATTACTATATGTACCATATGATCTTATAATACTGAGTGGATATTGTTTTCAAAGTTTAAGAAAAGAAAAGTTGTTGGTCAGGTTATTGAAGATTTATAAATAGACGAAAATAAGTGTGAATTTGTAGCTCATGTGAGAAAAGTCGATATTGTCATTGCTTACGATGAAACCTTCTCAGATGTCCTCTTCAAATTTCAATGATATTTTTCTTCTATAGATATGTCAATTTTCTAGAGACTATAGGTTTTTGGAAAACTTTGTACATAAAGAGGGTTCAATTAAACTAAATTCCATAAATGAATTTAGAAGTTTGGAACAAAGTATCTTCTATATATGAAATTTTCAATAAATCTGTGCTGTATACACTACAAATGTCCATCACAACTGAAAATTACAATTGTAAATACTATATTCTTTTACATTGATACAAGATTAAAAATTGTTGCATTCCTTGCATGAGAAAATTATCATAAAACTAAGGATTTGGAATCAGTAGAAAATTCTAACTGATGCCTGCCGCAATGGATATCTCTGGTATACACTATTTATGAAAAGGGTCTCATATTTGGAAGAGACTTTGTTCAAAACTTCTCTACTCAAGTTTTCCGAAAATCTAGAGTCTCTCGAAAATAGACAGACATGATGACTGAATGGCTGCGTTGTACGACACGTATCTAGAAAGTATTGTATAGAAGTTTCACTACCACTCTCTATAGAATGATGTTGAATAAGTCATTAGCAGCTATTTATCTTAGATGATTCGTTCCATATTATGCCGGTATTCTTTTCAGAGCTACGACTATTCATAGTGATAGGAAAGATAGCGGACTAATAAATCCATCACAAGGTAGTGGAATATCAAAGGTATTCCTCCTTTCTTCTGATGATAGATACATTAAAAATTTAGTAGTTTAGTGTAATCTCAATACGAACCTAAATCTTTTAAGGATTTTTCTTAGAACACTAGGTAGCATCCTAAGTTTTGACTGATATGATACTGTTTTGTACAAATCAAAATTTTATTAATTGTCATCAAAAAGAAAAGAGTGAATCAGAATTTATTCAATACTATAGACCTTTAAATATAGAGTTGTGGAAGTTTCTTTCTAGTCTTTTTCATATAAAAAGTATGTAATGACTGAAAATAATTTCAAATGAATTTGCAGGAGATAGTAAGTTCTTTTCTCCAGTACTTTTAAAAATAAGTGCAAAAAATTGACTTTAATGTAAAAAGAATATAGAAACTTCAATATTAGCATTGATGATTAGAACTATAAGATAATCGTTTTAGGTTTTTCTTAACTTCTAAAATAAATTTAAAATAAAAACATTAGCTAGCTCACAATGATGCAAGTGAAAAAACATTTAGGATCCGGGTTCAAAAATGTCGGATTCAATGAGTTCTACATAGACGCTATATACTTTCATAATAAAATCAATTTTTCTGCTCAGTCCAACGCTAAATTAGGAGGTGTATCCTTTCAATTGAATAAGTAAAAATGAATTTTAGCTATACATCATTTACATTTTATCTAGATCTTTGGAACAGTATTCTTTACCTTGTATCATTTAATTTATAATGGAGTAATAACTTGCTCAACTATATATTACTCCTCTAATAAATCTTACATATTCAAAGATTCTATTTAGCTAAATGAAATTGTAATCGAGACTAAAACATTCATTCATAGTATGTGCTTGTTCATACCGATTGGTTGACATATGTTGTCGAAGGCGTCACTTATAGTTTAATTACAATAGATCTCATTATAATTTATATAATTTTGACTTTTGACTTTTATTCAACAAGGTTGAAGTTTCTTACTTTTGTGCTACATTTTTCAATATTTGATATTCTTATGATTGACACGATTATTAAAAAATATCTCATGGATTGATCAAGCATTTCCACCATACGGTCTTATTGAACAAAACCCTAGAAAAAATCTTTCAAATAAAATATTAAATACTACTTTATATGATCAAGACCATCAATTAAAGGACGATGAGGAAGCTGATAATAACTTTAGAAAATAAAAAACGTTTTCACTCGGTCAACTTGATCACCATCTCGTGGTTTAAAAAAAAGACATAGAAATACAAGTAAAGAAAGGTATATTTCTTGAATTTGTTTTTGAAATGATTATCGATTCTAAATTTTATAGGAACATCGTCATTCGTTATCTAAATAATGGAAATCAGCTGAATATGTGATTTGATATTAATTCTATATTTTTTAGTTCTAGTTCAAAATGTCGAAAAATCAATGGAATTAATAAAGTAACAAAAAGAAAATAATAATGATATTGAAGGAGGAGAATCAATAGTTATTGAAACAACGATGAGGTACAACAAAATGTGTATCACTTTCATTAGAAGAAATGCTTGAATAAAATAAGAAAAAACAAGCAGCAATATCACAAGTAATTGAAATAATAATTTTACTATTGAATTTTTTTAAAATTTGCTAAGATTTTAGTACTTTCACAATGACCTACCAAATGACTATAATGAGACGAATCCGAATCATGACGGTTTTACTGAATTTTCCATTCATTTTCAGGTACTTACTGGAAAATCTTGGGTGTGGGTGTGGATGTAGGTGTGGGCGTGGGTGTGAGTTGACAGGAGTTGAGTACACTCACACCCACACACCCACACCCACACCCTCCATATCCATGCAGTGATACGCATTTATTAGCTTTAAAATATTTTATTATATTTGACATCCATTTAAGTTCCAAAATGAGTGATGAAAAAACACATAATCAAATCACAAATGAAAGAAGAGAGAAATTCTTTTTTTGATCTGACAGAATAAAGATCGCGACATCTAGTCAATAGATCCTTGTGGTCTAAAAATCAAATGATTGTTGACTCTCTGACAGATCCTAGACATACAGTCTATAGGAAACAATTATTTTTGCTTCATTTATATGGCGAAGATATATATAATGCAAATAAAGATAACTCAAGCTATGTTTCATTATCCAAATCTGACTGCTTTTCCTCCCTCCTGATGGATTGCACAATCCATCTTTGATTTAATTTATATTATTAACAAAATTTTTCTAGCTACGGCTTATTTTTAATCATCTAACAAAAACATCTGATAGATATATTTTTGTTTGAAAAAAAGTTTGGAATCAATCGATGTTTCATTTTTGAGTCACTTGAATAGATCATTAAGTTCTGTTATAAAAGCATCTAAGTATTGATTCGTTCTACGTATGGCATCAGTCGGTTGCCGTGTTGTTATTGATTTAGCAGCGTGGTTTTATTTCTTTCTTTCCAATGACTTTTGATGAAAACAAAACAAAATATACGTATTTACTCTCTTCTTTATTCGATAAAAAAAACGTCTAGCTGTTTATTGTCCAAAGCAAGACAGAAAAATATCGGCTTTTGTGTATTTTAGTGCAAAAAAAAATCAAGAAAAATCAGTTTTACTTAGATTCAATCTTTCAGATTTTCTTCATTCGAAGACAAATGGCTGCTCAACAAGACCAACAATCAATAGATAATTTACTTGATTGTCCAATAACAGGAACACGTTTTGTTGATCCTGTTATAGCTGATGATGGATATACTTATGAACGACAAGCAATTGTTGAATGGTTACGTCAAAAACCAGTTAGTCCTATAACACGACAATCAATGTCTATTGATTGTTTACGTTCTAATCGTATTGTTAAACAAATGTTAGATGTAGAGAAAAAAGCCGAAAGACAAAGTTATCGATTTAAATTAAATATTGATGTAAAAAGGAAACGAAATCGAGCTTTATTTCAAAATGGTGATAAATTTATATACGAAGCTGAATGGTTAAATAATGAACAAGGACCCGAAATTGTTCTTTTACATATTCGCGGTGCTCGTGCATCAAAAGAAGCCTCATTTTATGCGAAATGAAGTGGTCATCCGAACATAATTCGAACTTTGGGTGTTGTAGAATCAAGCACTGAAGAAAATATGGGTATAATGTTACTTCAAGAATATGCTCCATTAGGTGATTTATCAGAATTATTACTGAATCAACCAAGATTATCCGACAACGCACATATTTTTTTGTGAAATCTTTCTTCAAATTATTGATGCTATGACTTTTCTTGCTTCGAAAAATATTGTTCATGGTGATTTAGCTTGTCGAAATATCTTAGTATTTAGTTATCATCATACTGATCCAGAGAAAATTCTTGTTAAATTAACAGTCTTCGGTTTAACACGAGCAAGTACTACATATCAAAGAACAAACTATGTAGCATCAACAATTAATACAGTTCCAATTCGATCGAGTGCACCAGAAATTTTGCAATCACCAAATGATAGACAATTTTATACGGAAAAATCCGATATATTCTCTATGGGTGTTCTTATGTGGGAATGTTTGTCGAAAGGAGCAATTCCATGGGTTGAGAAATCAGATGATGAAGTAATCAGAAATGTTCTTAATGGTGAACGATTAAAACGACCTAGGAATGGTCAATGTTCTGATGATTTATGGGCAATCATTTCAAAATGTATGGCACATCGTCCAGAAGACAGACCAACTTTTGTTCAACTTGATCGATTGATTTCAAATTTATTTTCAAACAGAGTATCGATGTTTAGCAGATATGCACAATATGCTTTTTTACAACATCAGGTTAGTGTCAGATACGGTAAGATTTGTTCATATGTTTTACATTCGATAGAGAAATGGTGACACAAATTCAAATAGTCGACCATCTACCGCAATTGCTGCCACTAGTTTTCAACCGTCACCTGCTACAGTTGCTTCCGTCGATTCTCGACAAGCAACAGGTAACTTTGTTCATAAATTTAAGACAGTATTTTGAGCATATATGAAGAGGGAATCACTCAGTCTCAATCATTGATCTCGGTGAGATATCAAGTTTAATAATCAAGTACAGATGAATGATGTATTACTTGATCTCACTTGATTTTGACAGAGATCAACTGAATAAGAACCGAAGTACGTTAGGATCGAGATCAAGATTATCGGTTGTGTCATGAGTCTTGCCATATACTTTGAGTATCATTCAAAAGTCACTCATAGAGTTAGAATATATTTTATCAGCAAATATTTATTGTGTTGTGACTAAAGTATTGTCTTTTGTATTTCCAGTGTCAGAAGAAAAAATGGTTCTAGTAGAAGGTCCATTAATAATACAAAACGACGGTCGAGCTGCGGGATATTTCAATTGTCAGAACGATTTTCTCGGGCTTGGCGGCTCAAATCTTTATTCATCTGGCACCCATCGTATTAAATTACAATTCATGGCATGTGAAGGAATTACACAGATTGAATTTTTTGGTATCATCAGTGACAGTCTGAAATATCAAGCTAGTATGACACATTGGACTGAGATGGCTTGCACCTATGGTTGTGGTACTCGTTTTAAGTGTGAAAAAGGTAAACGTTTCCCCAAAGCCGAAGATCTACCAATTCGTAATGGAACTGTCATCCAACTCGCGCTGGATTGTAGTAATCATAAAATTTGCTATAAAAACGGTAACTCTTATGTACAAGAAATTCTTATTGACACACAAGTATGTCCATTTCCATGGAAATGGCGTCTTCGATTTTTCAGCAAAACAGGATGTCTTCGATTGACATGAGGGCAAAACTATCCTACTTATCTCGTCATAGTTTTTTAATAAATATATCAATAATCATATATCATACTATTTAGAATAAGAAAAATTGGTCAAGATAAATTGGAAAAAATGCGTTGTACTAACTTTTTATGTGCATGAACTTCATGAGCGTATGAAACAGACAAATGAGAGTGCATTTCGATCCTTCTCAAAGATCCCATCAGATGACTCTACGTCATTTTGTACAGTTTGATTACTGGGTACTTTTACTATTGCCGTTAATAGTTTTAGTTTTGGGTTTTATGGACTGTCGACTTGATTCATTCGATTAACTTATCTGTGCATAATAGTCAATAAAAATTGCTAAATCAAGAACATACAACTGATTGTACGTCTTTCATATTGATGGAACTTGATGAATGATAGACTATCTGTTAAAGTATTAGTTCAGATATTTTACTAGGGTGGGTGTGAGTCTTTTCTTCATCGATACGCCCACACCCACATCCACCCTCAAGTCTTTTATTATAAGCCTTTTTATTAATAGAAACTTCTCAAAAAAGTGACGAGGAGGATATCATTTCCTAGGGGGACGTTTGCAATTTTCTTTAAATCATTTGGATCAGATTTTTCTTCTTCTTTTCAAAGATTCACTTATACTTCTTAACATATGGTTCTTACGAAAATTCTTTTACACACATAGAACGTTAACACATCTTTATCAAAATTTTTTCGTTGAAAATTTTAAATATATCAGAGAATTAAATCATTTCAAACTATCTTATGTGAGATAAGATTATATGAAGAATTTCATTTAGCAGATTTTGTAATGTATATCAATTTAACTATCTCTAGAAAGCAAATTGTTTTCACAATAAAAATTGTCATTGTAACAACATATATGTTTAATGAGAAAACAAATGTATGGTTCATTAATTTATTTATTTATTATTATTGAGATTTCTTTTACAAAATCAAATATTTGATCTATACATAATTTGATTTCTAAAAAGGCAGAGACACTTTTCTTTTCAATCAACGAAATTTACGTACTTCGAGTATAACAAAATTTTTTCTTATTATTGTCAACAGATAACAAACTAATTGAAATTATAAGATTTAAATAAATAAATATATCTCATATTCACATCCATTTTATTAACTAATAATATTAGTAATTTCCTTTTATACATTATTTTATTATTTGTTTAGTTCAATTATGCATTGTAACAAGCTCTCTTCAAATGAAATATCTTGGTTGTACATTTTCTCACCTATTATTTATTCACGTTTCTTCACTTATTTTGGAAAGAAAAAACAAAATAAATGTCGCAATAAAAGTGTCTCTTTTACAAATACTTGATAACTACATAAGTTCATTACGTAAATCAAGATAATTCTAATAAAAAATATTCTAGTCTAGCTATGTAGATCTTTAGCTGTGTATATACCTATTTAATTAATACTTTTTCTAATTGTCTTTATAAAATTATGAAAAACGGATATATGTCCGAAAATGCATCTATTATTTTCAAAAACAGTAAAAACTTAACGAGAAAAATACACAAATAAGTTATTGAGTATGTTTTCATTTTTATGAAACTTCATAACATCCCCATCCAATCGAAACAAAGAATATATCGACAATAATTTGACGAAAGATTTGAATAAACTAAATACTATGAAAACAAAAGGAAGTTCTTTTATCTGTTGAACAATTTCTCTCAGAAGGAAAAATAATTAGAAATAAACGAATACACTTACAATGGTCTATTACTATTATGAAATCATTAGATTGACAAGTTTATTTTTTACTTATATTTGTTTTTATCGTCTATGAAGTTGCAATCTATAAAAACACAGAATATACTTCATTTAATTCTAAGCATATGATATAATTTCATAGACAGTGATTTTTTCAGTAACTAGAAACACTTATCTATTTCATTGATCAATATTAAAAATTCGTGAATATTTAAACTAACTGAATATATTTGATCAACAAAAGCATTTAGTTTTTGAAATTTTCAATGAACAAAACACGTCTGTTCTTACTTATATATCTCAATTTTCATGATTCATTTGATATGATCAAATAACCAATTTCACTTGCTCCTTGTGACAAGCGATGCATTGTTCAAGTGGAAAGAAAAATTTGTCACAAATGAAGAAAGAGTACGACATTCCTCTTATCTTAACGTATTACATTAGATTACGTTTAAAAGAAAGTGGAATATGTAAAAACGATAGTGCTTATAAAATCTAAACTCAATTCAGTCTCTCTACTAACATTTTATCTTATGTAGTTAGACGTGAAAAAAAAACAATAATATATACTGTATAATCAGCTATTCATGCCCACTGAAGCATGCACCTCAACATTCTTTTTTTGTATCATTCACAATCACGAAATGATGAAATCTAATATTGAATAACATCATTAATATTGAAAATAATTTTGAGAGTTTTATATTCATCACTATTTCTCGGAATTTGTGAATGCAATTGAATACATATATAAAAATAAGTAATACAGGTCATTGATAGTTTTTTGTGCATATTTTACAGAAAAAGGTTTTGATAATTGCAGAACCTGCTTATCGGAAAGATTTATTTTATACAGTTATCCTTCATAATAAGTGAATGATAGTTACTCCTTTATTACATTTATTGTCTACTCATAATTGATACATATGATCAAGAAAATTCAATTTTATCTTATGTCAGATTTTGATGATTATACCCATGTCAATATCTCAACTATTCTTACAATGAAGAGCACATTTTCTACAAAGTTAATATGTTCAATGAATCATTCTTTGTAATCAAGCGAGAAGTCTTCATTAAAAGAAACTCTAGTTGATGAATTAACTTGTTTTGGATCCTTATATCAAGACGAACCATATGAAAAACTATTTTTTGATTCAGTGATCAATTTTTGACTCGAAAACTTATCATTATTAAGTTTCATAGCAATTTCATACAGTACACTAGAAGTTTGGTTATGTACGTGAAACTAAGAAATGTTTAAATCTTTTATAAAACAGAAAAGAAAGGCAATAATTGATAATTACTTTCTATAGATATTATCTAATAAATTATAAAATTTTCTGATTGTATTTTCTCTTTCTTGTGAAATTTAAAAAGAAAAACAAGGTTAAGTTACGGAATGGAAAAAAAACTACTAATTCTAAAAATTCATTTTTGAGACAAGAACATTTTATATTACGAAATCATTATATTTTGGATTTAT